TCCTTCATCCTTGCTGACATTTAGTATGCCTTTTTCATTTCAACCACTATAATAGGTGCATAGTACTATATCATTGTGGTTTAAACCTACATTTCCCTAATACCTAGTGGTCTTCAAATCATTCCATGTGTTTAATTGCCATATGTATATCTCTTTAAATAAAGTGTCTATTCAAATCTTTCTCCCATATGTTATTTGGGTTGTTGGTTTTATTATTGAGTCTGAGAGATCTTTGTATGTTCTAGATACAACTTCTTTATCAGATATATGATATGAAAATATTTTGTTGCAATGGGTAGTTTTTATTTTCATTCTCTTAACCATGTCTTTTGAAGTCAGCTAAGTGTTCAAGATGTCAGTTAGGATGCCACTTTTTCTTGGTAACCTTCTTGGAGTCTCAGGCCTTGATAAGTTGCCCTTCCAAGTACTTGTCTTGTTTCAGATGCAACCTCATCTCATGACATGCATTGTAGTCTAGTACAATTATCTGATTTCCTTTTCATTTCTTCCCCTAGACTAGGGGTATCCAACCTTTGGACATCTCTCAGCCACACTGGAAGAAGAGCTGTCTTGCACCACACATTAAATACATTGCACCACATTGTCACACACACACACACAAATCTAATAATGTTTCAGGTAAATTTACAATTTTGTGTTGGGCCTCATTCACAGCCATCCTGAGCTGCATGTGGCCCACAGGCCTCAGGATGGACACCCCTGCCCAGACTCTAGATTCTGTGTCCATGAGCAAGGACTCATTGTGTCCAGTTCTTTGTTGTATCCTCCACACAAGTATGAAGACTGACAGAAGGCTGGATATGCTCTGCTTGTCTCTCCAGACTCACGTTCTGTACTTCTCTCCCTGCTCTGTGCTCTGGGAGCTGACTTCTCCAGATTCCTTGCCCACTGACCGCTGGCTGGGGTCAGCTATGGGAAGAGATGAGAGGACAGGAGAAGTCAGGGCATATTTATTTGCTTAGTTTCTTCCCTGACAGGCTTCAGTTTGGTAGGAGTTACTGTTCTCTTGTCCTGGTCAATAGATGTCCCCTGTGCCATAGGCATGGCTGTCATGAGGCTGCTCTGACTGTCCCTGCCCTTGCTCCCCCAGACCCACATGTAGTAATGACAGTTTCCTGAACTTGCTAGAAACTGGATCTTCACGTTCCTGACCTGGTTCTCTTCACTTTGCCCGTACCTTTGTAAACAGTTTTTTTTTTATTGAACCTTCACAATAAATCAGGGTTTCACCCTTGGTTGCTGAGACCCCAATTCCTACATGCACACACAAAAAATACAGTGGTACCCCAGTACTCATCATTAATTCATTGCAGAACTGCTGACAAATGCTGAAACCAATGAGTCCCAAGCAAGTGCTGAGTGCTGAAACATTTTTTTTCTTATTAAAATGTGACCAGTACAGGATTTGATGAGTCCTGAAGCTGACAAGTACCGAGGTATTGTTACAGAAAACAACTCAGCCGCTTTCAGGTGTACGGAGTGGAAGTTTATTTTACACACGGGCCCAGAGGAGTCAGTTTCCAAATTCTGGGCCTTGAACAAAGGGAAAGCAGTTATTTTATGGAGTAGGGGCGGGATAGAGCAGGGGGGAGAGGCCTGTCCTTCAGACCAAAGCAGGAGACAATTTACAGAGGCAGAAAGCAGAGCGTTCACTATCTCTGGTATGTAGGCAATAAGCTAGAAGAAACAAGGCAAATCACTGGGCTGTTAAACATCCGGGCTGTAAAAAAACAGTCCCCTAATTGCTGTGCTATATTTTAAAATAGCTATCAATTTCCCCTAACAGTAAGACTGTATTTGTCTATTTGACACTCACCATAACCCATATGTTAAGTGAGTTTTAAATCCCTGAAATTTCTTCAACATTTTCACTCAACATAATTCAGGTTTCTAATATTTTTCATGAGTTTCAAATGATTACAAATACTGTGTTCCTTTCAACCTCATTCTCTCCTTTCTTCATTCATGTATTTATTCAGCAGGGACATTTTAAGAACTTACTAAGTGCCAGGAACTGTGCTTCCCTGAGGATTCAAAGAGAAGGAAAATATATTTGGTTTCTCCAGATACTCGCATTCACGTGAGAGGTGTAGTTAAATAACATTCCAGTTCAAAATGACACACCGAGTGATAGAAAGGTGCACCAAGGCGTGCAGGCGCAGAACTCTAGCATCCCGTTGCTGGCTGGGGTCAGGACACTTTACAACAAGACAGCTCTCTGTAGCACGTGATTCTGGGCTCTCTTTTGCTCTTCTCTTTGCTGCCCCACTCTCTCCCACACTCGCAGCTCCCGCGGATGAACACTAATGATATGCCGGACTCCATGCCAAACACTGCACATACTTATCTCATTTAATAGAGCAACAGTATGAAGCAAAGACCACCATCTGCATTTTTTTAAGAAGGAAGCCAAGGCTAAGGGAGGCTAAGCCTCCTTCTGGGAGGCTGGAGCCTCTTTTAACCATGATGTTCTCCTGCTTCAGAACTCAGAAACATGCACAAGGCTGGGTTATGAGGAAGGATCACTTTCCTGGAGGCTGAAAGGCTCTTTCCCACAACTTCCCCCTCAGAGCTGCAATACTTCAGGAAGACAGGGAGATTAGCTCTTTCCTGAGTCTTCTCATCCTTGAACAGGAAATGTAATAGCAGTAGGCCAGGAAGCCATCATCACTTTTGTTCATTACACTAATTGGTCAGGAGATAAAATATGGCTTTGTTTCCCTTTTTATCTTGTTCATATTCTTAGCACTGCTATTTTGGAATATTATCTTCTGTGGATCAAAGAAGGCTTTTTCTTTTTTTCATTGCTTAGAGGGTAAAACTGAAGCCCGTAACAGGTGACTCTCTCAGCAGAATCCCACAGCCAGTGGGAGGTAGCCCAGGGCCCCATGGCTGCCGTCATTCATCAGGGTGCTCCAATAGCTTCCCTTCACTCCAGCCAGGCCCGCCTACTCCCTGTCTCCCGTGCAAGCATTTCTCACCCCAACCTTTGTATTTTTTCCTGCAACTTTTTCCTGTACCCTCCTCCACCCTATCTGAGCACAACTAACCCCTGAGCTCCTCTTGACTCTTTCCTTTTGAGTCTCACTGCACTGAACCTCAGCAAAGATGAACATCTGTCTTGTGCTTTATTACCTGAATATGCTGCGTGGATTGCACCTGGGTGCTGCAGTCGATGCCAGCCCACTCAGACAGAGCTAAATTGTGTACTTTGGGGATAGTCCCACAGCACACAATGTGGATCTGAAGCTGTAGGAGAGATCGATAAGTGTTTCCCGATTGAAGTACCTATGGTCTTGTACACCGAATGCATCACTTTTCTACATGTTTTCTGACAGGGATGCTGACTTCAACATATGATGAAATGCTGTTGGCTATGGACATGCACCGGAATCTTACACATCCTCTCAGCCCACCTCCCTGCACCCACCTTAGTGCAGCCACCTCTGTGGCAGCCAGCCCTGCACAGGCTTCCCCCAGGTTCCCTCTGGAGCAACCCAACAGCTTCACCTCTGGCCATCCCATGCACCTGTCACTGCCCCTGGGCTCCTTAAATGCCAAGGCATGGGACCATGCTTGAAGCTTTTCATTGCCGTGGAAATGTGCAGAGCAATTAATAAACCTAGGATTCCCTTAACCAGCAGGGACGATGAGCCTACAGATGACTGTTTTTCATCTCCAGGGCAGATAGTGTTGAGGCCTTCTGAGGTTATTGCCGGTCTGCACACAAGCTGCTATTGTAGTGGCAACAGCAGAGACTTTCCCATCTTCTCTATTTCACACTGACCTTCAGTCCCACACCTTCCTAGGGAATCTCACCCCAGACTCTGCTTTCCCGGGAACCAGGCTAAGGCAGTTTATTAGTCTGCTAGGGCTGCCATAACAAAATATCATAGAGTGGGTGGTTTAAACAACAGATATTTATTTCTCACAGTTCTGGAGGCTGGGAAGTTCAAGATCAAGGTTTTTGACAAGGGTCCTCTTTCTGGCTTGCAGATGCCCACCTTCTCTCTATGTCCTCATATGGCTTTTTCTTGGTGCCTGCAGATGGGAACTTTGCTCTTGCTCTTCTTATAAGGCCACCCGTCCTATGTAGGATCTCACACTTGCAAACTTATTTAACTTTAATTAAGTCCTAAAAGCCTGATCTGCAAATACAATCACACTGCAGGGTTAGAGTTTCAACATATGAACCAGGGGAAAGGTGCATAATTCAGTCCATAGCAGATGGTGTTACTCAGAAATATTGGTTTGGTCTTGGCCGATAGGCAGCTGATAAAGGCAAGGTTCTCCAAGATCCCGCCATCTTCCCTTATATTTTAAAGCTTGCTTTTGCTTTCTTTCTTCTTCTTATGTTTTAATCACTAATGTCAAGGTCCTGTTAGGAAAGGTCTCGTGAATAACAAATGTTTTTTTGTGTTCTGGTTATTTGAAAGACTACAATTAGAAGGACTGCATTCTAGTCAGGGTCTTCCTATTGACTAGTTTAAGGAGCAACTTTTGCTAGATTAAGGAATAACATAGAGCAAATCACTTTGCCTTTCTGGATGAGTTTTCTCAGCTACAAGATGGAATAATATGATAACGGCTATAAAGTAGGATAACCCGGCTATTTTGCTAGGTTGAGGGAGCCAAGGAGATGGAAGGGGGAGTTTATTTTTAAAACGCAAAGGAACTCAAGAATGGAAGAACCTTGGGGTACTCCGAGGTGAGAGGGACGGAGACCAGGGTGCACTGCTCCCCAGGGATCTCCATTTGTCCACATTCCAGAGGATGGCATGTTAAAAAGGGGCAGGTCCATAGAGCAGCTTGGTTTACTCCAAGCTGGCTGCTGCCAAACTCACCGTTTGCCAGAATCCGGTGGTTTGCAAACCCAGATGTCAGACTTCCTGTCCCAGAGATTCTCAACTCTTTCACCTCCCCAGAACGGTAGCAGGAGGAGCGTACACACGGCAGTCTCACCCCTCCCCTCTCTCCACCCCAGAGGCAGGAATTTCTGGGATGGGCAGATGGTGCACTCCCGCCTCCTCCTTTTCCAAGCCTGAGGGGGTAGGGCGGTGAAAACCTCTGTGGCTTTCCAGTCTCCCAGCAGGGAGCCTAGAGTGTATCCAACAGTGACGACTGGGGTGACGGATTGAGCCTTTGGTTTGCAAGGGTAGTTAGACCCTCAGGAGGGGTGGAGCGCTGAGGGCGCTGAGTTTCCGCGGCGCGTGCTGGGCACCGGTGAGCCCAATGGTTAGCAATGCTGCTGCTGTCGTCGCTGCTGCTGTTGCTGGGGGCGCCGCAGGGCTGTGCGGAGGGCGAGGCGGCGGTTCTTCCTTCTGAGCCGGTCACCGAGTGGCAGGGTGAGTGTCCCCCGACCGGAGGGACCAGGTCCGCACATCGGGGCTGGGGTGGTCAAGGGAATGGAGAAAGGGCCAGCCTGGAGGACGAACGATAGCAGCTAGAGACGCCGAATTTGGATGGTGGCCCCATCTCTGCCGTCCTGTGAAAACCCTGCATCGCGTCCCTCGGCCCTGCATCCTCCAGGCTTCTTCGGAGATGAGCGAGGAGGGGAGGGGCCTGGGTCTGCGACTCCACTCAACTCCGGCTGCGCACAAACCAGGCTTAGGAGGTTAGGAGACCTTTCGAAACGTCAGCTCCCCAAAATTGCTTATTTGGGGGCAGCCTTTCTTGGCTAAATGGTGGCAAAAAGGATGTCCTATTTCGTCCTCTTTCAAAGCAGGTGCTCTGGGTGTGCGACGCCACTTGTGGAGTGTCCCCAAGCGGGCCTCTGCTCTCCGCCCCTTTCGGGAAAGAAAACTTAATCTTCTGTATTAACGCTGCAGAGGCGAAGGGGAGAGGCACTGCTGCGGCCCCGCTGAGCTGTGTGAACTGGAACAAGTTACCCTGTTTGCTTCTCAGTTTCTCTTAGTTAGATAAATGGAGTCCGTGATACCCATCGGACCACTGAGGATGAAGCGAGGCCCTTTGTAAGGTTTGTGGCACCCCAGTGAGAGAGAGATTTTTCAAAGTGATCCCCTGCTCTTGCAGCGTGTATGTGCACACACGGGCAACACATTCAGACATTTGTTGAACACCTACTACAGGTAGATTTGTAAAGAGACGTAAGAGGTTGTCCTGCAGGGGCCAGAGTAATGAATAACTGTGCGCTGCTTCTGAAGCAGAGAAGACAAGAGGCCAAAGTGGAAGCTCACGTGTGAAGGGAGGCGGGGTGGGGGGGGGGGAGTTCGACCGAAGGGGAGGAGCCTCCTGCGGCCTCCGTCCTCTCTGCCTTCGGGGATAAGTTTGGAGAGGGGGTGAAACAAGGCGTCATCAATGCCTATGTTAATTTTCCCCCTCTCAGCGTCTTACGTACACGATTTTGAGGTATTTTTCTAGACTGTGTTCCCTAGCACTCCCTAGGCACTCCTAGCATTCAGGGACAGATTGAGCAATTCTAATAAGTGGCCAAAGATCAGGGCCTCTTCCCTCCTTGGTTGGTTCAGTCAAAAATGTTCCTGTGAATGCACATCTGACCCTGTGGCGTGATCCGTCTCCACTAAGAGTTTACTGTGCAGTGCTGACTCCTCCCCATTTTACAACACAGTCTTTGCTTGAGTGCTACCTGTGTACGTATCTAGAACTGGACAGCAGCCGCCCGTGGAACAGGAGCTGGGACCGAGCCACGCAAGGAGGATGTGCCGGTGATCCTCTGAGCAGGGTCAACTCTGACGGGCTAATCCCTTCTATAAGTAGCAGACCCAAATCCTGACCTGAAGTAGTTCTAATCAGTGTTTTGTCTTTGCTACTCAAGGGCACTCCAAATCCAGAACATCTGCTACCTCCTGTTTGCTCCAGGTGACAGTTTGCATATTTGAAACGTTTGACATAGTTGGCACAGAGATTGTTCAGGTGTGAAAATGCTGCTGCTGAGGCTCCAAAGAGCACAGAGATTAGGGGGCATTGAATGTACCAGCCCTCAGAAAGTCTCCCCTCCTTGACTCCAATCACCCACATCAGTGAATTTCAAGTGTAATCTAGACAGGATTGAAATCAAGTTTTTTCTGTCTACATAAAGGTGGAAAAACAAAATCTTAGCAGCTGAAGGGACCTGACACATGCCTACTCTAGCCACCCATACTTCAGATGTGGAAGCTGAGGTCTAGCTGTGTTTGGGGTGCCTCAGTTTATCACTGTGTTCAGTGAACCACACTGACTTGCTTTTAGCCGTGACTGGCAACCACAGAGTAACCAAGAAAAACTATGCACCTATTTTAGTTTTGCATCTACTAGTTCGTGATATGTAACAATGCAAGGCTGATTGTATGCATAGTATTTTTATCTGAATTGTTTGATAGGTACTATTGATTGCTATAGGTACTATTGATGTATTGTAAACATCCCAGCCTTGGGAGACAGATAACTGATGGTGTTGCACTGACTTTTCAATCATTTATCAATTCTTTTGTATTCAAAAATCAGTAGAGGCGCTGTCATGTAGTAGTAAACTTCATGGGCTCTGGGAGCCAGACTGCCTGGATTCAAATCCTGGCTCTACTGTCTACCAGCTGTGTGACCTCGGGCAAGTTACTTCACCTCTCAGTTTCCTCATATATATTAATGAACCTGGTAATAATACTTACGTGTTGCTCTTTTGTTGCAGAATCAACCTAGTGCCCTTTTTCTCTGGCCAGTCCAGACCGTTTCGACAGGTTGACAGCCCGTCACAATTATTTGCCACCCTGAGCACAGCAGCAGACACAGGCCTGCTGTCGACCTTCCCATCTCTGATTGGCCAAACAAAGGATCCTCACTGTGGTTCTGGGGCCAGGTCCTTTCTTCTAACCAGTCTAAAACTGCATAACTTCACTTACTCAAGTGCCCCAGATCCTGGGAGGGCAGTGAGAAAATGAAGAAGGAAGTGGCGCATCCTGGGGAAAGGAGGGCATCGTCTCCGGGGGGTTGTAAAGGAAATGAATTGGGGGTGGGGGCAAGGATTTTGATGCTGTATGGAGGGCTGAAGATTATATATGTGAACCAGCCCCATCCTACAGAGGAGAGTTTCCTCTGTAGCAGTCAGCTTCCTGGAGGCGAGAGTGGAGGGACCGCACGGCTGTATCCGTTGTTGGGGATGGTCAGGGTGGGCTCTTCTGGATGACCAGTGACCAAGGGAAGTGAAGGGCTGATGAGCATGAGGTCCAAGTGTTTGACCTTGGGGTCCTATCTGGAGAGAAGAGAGTGACCTGGGTGGAGAGGGTAGGGGTGTCTCTTGATATTCTGCGCCCCTGGGAAGAGCGACAAGGAGCTGGAGGCCTTAGCTGTTCATTCACTGTCTGCCTGGCTTTATGTGCTTCTTAACCATCTTGGTTTGAGGTTCACCCAAAAGCAGTTTCTGAGATGTGTATTTTTGGGGATACAAGTAATTTATTTGGGAGGTGATTCTAGAAGGCATTATAAAGGAACAAGGAAAAGAGACAGGGAAGGGCTAGAAGAAGGCCATTACGGGCAATTGGGGTTCTGTTTCACAGAGGTCCTTCTGAGGGACCCGCCGAGGGGCAGGAAGCACAGACATCCATCTCCCCCATTCGCCCCCCCATCCCCGTCATTGATGAAGGGCCCCTCCTGGGGCGCTAATCTCCTGGCGCTCTAGACTGCACCGAGCTCTGTCAGGCCAGGAGACACAGAAAGTCAGCGGGAGTAAACGAGAACTGTACCAGGTGAGGACCTCCAGGGTTGGCAGTGAGGGTAGGGAACCAGAAGAATCATCTACTCGCCTGCAGACTGGGAAGACAAACATATGGGCAGAATGGGGTACTGTTCCCAAGAAGACGAGCATCTAGACACAGATTCTGAAACACAAGCAATTTCAAAACAATACAGTAGGTGTTATAATAAGGGATGAAGAGACACAGAGGAGAAACTGGCCTGAGGGGCTGGGGAAAGGGATGCGGAGGAGGGACAGGCCCGAGAAGCTGAGGACTCACACTAGGGCATTTGTTTTTCCTGAGGGATAAGTAGGTAGTTGCCACATGGGAAAAAGGAGCTGGAACTTTCCCAAGAAAGCAGAGGGTATGTGCAAAGGTAAGGAATCACATGTTAGGCAACAGTAGCTCAATGGGCTGAAAGCTCTAGTGTCTGGACTGTTTTGGATGGAGGAAAGTAGGCCCTGAAGGTCACTCAGGCAACTGTGGGGCTAGATGTAAGGGTACCAGGATCTCAAGGGGACCCAAGGACAGATTCTCCTGTGCAATGAGGCCTTCCAGGAAGCAAGAACATGCCCCTGGAATGAAGCAATTACTTTCTCTCTCTCAGGGGCTGCTTGGTGGTCCCTGTTTGGTTGTCTTTTTGTGGACTGGTTTCTTTTGCTTAATTTTCTAGGAGAATCTAGGAGAAATTTCTAGGAGAAACTGCTTAATTTTTCAAGAGTTGTTTAATTTACTAGGAGAAGAATTTGGCCACGCAAGTCACAGCAGTCTGGCGAGTCCCCGTTCTCTGCCCTTGAATCAGGGACTGTAGTGGTGTAAGAGGCACACAGAGATGCTGCCCCATCAGGTCCTGTGGATGAACAGACCCCCAGAATAGGGTCATGGCAGGACAAGAAGCTGTGACATGTCTGTATTTGGAAGCATGTGGAAGATGAGGAATGAAGAGTTTGGTTAGAGGCACTATAGTTAAAGGAAACAAAATCTGTTTGGGTGGATTGGGTACTATTGAGAAGAGTCTTGTGAGTTTGGATAAAAGAGAACCAGATCACACTTATACTTACGTTTAAGAATGCCATGGTCAGTTTGGGACTTGGAAAGGGTAATTCTGAAAGGCAGCAAAGAGACCATCTGAAAGGTTAAAATACTTGTGCGTGAAGAAAGACGCTGATGGCAAAAAGTCAGTCCTGGTAGGAATACTGAGGAGCAGAAACTTTGGGTTCAGAGATAAGAGGTAAAGAAGAAGAAAATAAAAATAATAGATTTAGTTAAAGGAGATGGGAGGAGTGTCCAAATTGGAGGGGTAGATTACATTGAATGCAATAGAAATGAGCTTTGGGGGGATCCGTGCTCAGCAGCGACCAGGGCCGAGGTGTGGCTGTCGGAGTGGGAGAACAGGTGAAGGAGGGTCCTTGGAGCAGGGCACTGCAGACATGCATGTCCAACAAAGCTCCACCAAAAAATATCCTCACTTAAATACGATGTACTGCTACTTTTCTATTCTGTTCCATTCTATTTTGTTTTGTAAAGCTCGTCATTAAATTGACCTCATGACCCATTAAATGGGCCACAACCCACAGAGGAGAAAACACCGGGGTAGAGTGTTGGGTCATCTGTGTTGCAAGTTAAAGGCTTTGTTTGGAATGGGGAGGACAAGGAGA